TTTTTTTTTTTTTTTTTTTTTTTTTTGAATCCAAATTTGTGGGTGGGCAGAATCCACACCGATGCGCGCGTCTTGGCTTGTACTTTCCTGTTTTGGTAAGGGGGCTGGCTTCACTGCTGTGCGAATGTAATGTATCATGCCGTAGAAACTGGAAAGGAGCGGACACCATTCCCGTTGTCTTTTTTCATTCACATCTGGCGAATGGCGCGAGGCGGAGAGAAGACTGAGGGCCTCGCCACACCACTCTCGAAATGTGAAAAAGACAAAAATGTGGCGGGTGCATCTGGCCATGTTCTATCAAGAAGTTCATTCTCATTTTGCACAATGCGTGAGTGGCGCGAGCGGTGTGGCGATGCCCTGAGGGCCTCGCCGCGCCACTCACGTAATGCACAAAAGACAAAAATGATGGCGGTGCGCCCTTTTTTTTTTATCCCCCTTTTTGCGGTGCACCTTTCCATGTTCTAGGGGCAGATTCATTCTCAATTCTTTTTGTACATTTGGTGAGTAGTGCGCCGAGGCCCTCACGCGCGGTATCAAAACAGGCAAAAAAAAAAAAAAACCGTTTGCCGCGTGATCGTCGATCTTGTGCATCTTCTCCCTCTCTCAGGTGCGGACTGTGCTCTCTCAGCGTGATGACACGTGTCCGAAGAACACTCGTCGATGTTTGGTCGTCGTTGGCGCGATGCCATCGCTTAATCGATGTGGGGGACAGCCGCCATCTCTTGCACGTCGGCAGCTAGGAAACCGTGTTTTCTTGAGAATTTGAAAAAAGGAAGGAGGAGGAGGAGGAGGAGGAGGAGAAGGAAGGGGGGGGGGGAAGAGAGAGAGAGGATTAGTCAAGGTGGGGGAGGGCTGTGCGCGGGGTCGGGAAGTGCGACAGCCGCCATCTCTCGCACGTCGGCAGCTAGGAAACTGTGCTTTCTTGAGACTTGGAAAAAAGGAGAGAGAGAGAGAGAGAGAGAGAGAGAGAGAGAGATGGGGGAGGGGTGCGCGCGTGGGTCGGGAAGTCGTCAGTCGACATCACCTCGACGCTAGTGGCCACCACCTCTTGCGTATCTTTTTTTTTTCCTCCCCCACCCCTTTTGCGTATTGGCGGCTACTAGCATTCCGTGCTTGGAAAAGAGAGAGAGAGAGAGAGAGAGAGGGTGCGCGGAG